GTGTATATGTCTTACTGATAGTCATGAGATTGCTGGGTCATATGGTAGTTCTGTTTTAACTTCTTTGAGAAATCTTCAAACCACTTTCCACAGTGGCTAATTTACATTCCCACCAACAGTGTATAATAATTCCCATTTCTCCACAAATTTGCCAATGTGATTTTTTTTTTTTTACTTTTTATAATTGCCATCTGACTGGGGTGAGATGATACCTCATTGTGGTTTTAATTTGCATTTCTCTAATTATAAGCGACATTGAACACTTTTTCATATGCTTGTTGGCTACATGTATGTCACTGTAAGATATATTCTTTCATGTCCTTTTTCCATTTTTTAATGAAACCATTAACAAACTAAATAAACTAATAGAAAAACTAAATTTGTTTTTCTTTTTTTTCTTTTTTCTTTTTTATTTTTAGACAGAGTCTCACTCAGTTGCCCAGGATAGAGTGCAGTGGCACGATCTCAGCTCACTGCAACCTCCGCTTCCCAGGTTCACGCAATTCTCTACCACAGCCTCCTGAGTAGCTGGGATTACAAGTGCCCTCCACCATGACAGCCTAATTATTATTATTATATTTTTTTTTGGATTTTTAGTAGAGACAGGGTTTCACCATCTTGACCAGGCTGGTCTTGAACTCCTGACCTTGTGACCCACCCACTTCGGGCTCCCAAAGTGCTGGGATTACAGGCATGAGCCACCACACCCGGCCATACTTGTTTTCTTATTAACAAACTCCTTCTGTAAGATATTCATTAGCTATCTCCAAATCCACTTTGACTTGTAGATAATAATATGGCTGTGTTTTCTCTCCCCATCATTATAACATTTCTTTTTATTGAGTGTCACAACCAGGTCTCATTCCTCAAGCTTGCCATCCACACCAAACATAAATTCAAACTTTGCCTCATTACTTGTCTTGCTTTCCAGTAAAAAATAATATCAAGATGGAAAACATTTCTTTCAATCATCATGAAAACCAAATCCTTTCTCCTTATAAAATGTATATATGTTTTTCAGTTGAACACCATCTTCCCTAATAGACTTAAAATGTGAGTAAATGCATGTGTTTGCATGTGTCTCTGTTACTTATGTATACAGGTTATTCAACTGCAATTTTTCCCAGGTTCATCTTTCTTATCTAGATTTGGACAAATATCAACAGTACCTGTTGATTAATCAAACTATCTCCTAGTCCTCACTCTCCATCCTCCTCCCTGTATTACACATTATTAGTATATCAGCTATCTGTGTACTGCCTCTTAACTTGAAATCCACCCTTCTTTTCTTCCCTTTATGATACCTGATGGACCCTATACATACTGCTCCTCTCCCAGCTCACACAATGTCAGGCTTTGTCAAAAGAGGGTGCTGGAGGGACACTCCAGGGTCATAACAAGAGAAGGGAGTTTTCTTTCTTGGTCTCTTTCTGGGTCAGCTACATTGCCATTTTTCGGCACAGCTTCAAAAGATTGGCATGCTATGAGTTTTCAGCCCGGGCAGCCTATTTTTGTGGACCAGCTTCAGCATATACCCTTACATGTTTCTTCACCAGCAGTAGCTAGCTGCATGTTCCTATAGCAGCAGCACCCCTCCAGTGAGGTTGGAATTCATTGGCCTTAGGGAAAAAGGGTGCTCTTCCAAGTCCTCAGTTTCTTCCTGACTCTGGAAATGGTGACACTGAACCCCTAAAAATAGATATTCTGTCTGCATTTGTTAATTTTGTATTGCTTGGCATTTTCTTTTATCCATGTTTTTAAAATGAATTTAACTGTCTTTTATTAGTTAATGTTTCTTTATATCAGAATTTTCCTGTGCTGTCCTGTGACTGGACTGTGTTTCTATAGTATGCTCCCATTTGGTAGTTTTGTGATTAATTAGACTTCCTCTTAAACAACTGCTGATAATCCTAACCAAATGAGGTAAATAAAGACAGAAATAAAATAGGAAATCTGACAAGGGTAGAGCAATCTCATATAAATTTTTTAGGCTGAATGCATTAAGGGAAATGTATCATTAGGGAAAATGTCTAGGTCCTTCAAGATTTTCCAAAACCTACTAAGATGCTGAATATGCATTTCATTTTGGAAACTGAATCTGTATTTAGGTGTGCATACACACACTCACACACCCACGTATTCTGAAATATAAAAAGAAAACTGAAAAATCAAAGTAAGTGGTTTTGTTTATTTAAATATTGTCAACTGAAATTACACTCAGTGCAACCTATATTGGTAGTGTGAGTATATTTTAATGTTTCTATAATCTGTGATAGGATCCTCACAAATAAGAAAGCATATCTTGAGCCTGCTAAAAAATTTTAACATTCTAAGGTTCAATTTACTGATGAAACAAGACTGCTTTTATTCAGTTCAGATATAAAGGAGTTAAATGTGTCCTATTGCTCATGACTATATACCTAACATCAACTACCAACTTTTTAAATACGTTAACAATCCCAAAGAATGGTCACAATATGGAGAGGTAGAGGATTAATCTAATCCATTATCATCACTGTAAAACAAATGACTTTGTACATTTTGGCAAACAAGTATGATATGAGTTTGTGTAAAATCCTCAAACACCAAACATATCTTGCTAGAAATATATATATATATTGGTATTTATGTATGTACATGTGCATATATATATATATATATATGTATGCATATATATATGCAGAGAGAGAAATGTTTTAGGTGAAGTTATTCTGAAAAAAAATAAAGCTAAATTTTCAATGCAGTAACTGCTACTACTGAAATCTACAATATAAAAAAATCTATTGAAAATATATTGATATTTGGGAGTCTTATATCATTTGCCTTTCTGTTTTAGCTGATAATAAAACACAAAGTAACCATATGTAAGAGTCATAATTTATATAATATTATGCTAATTTTTCAATGTAGTACTTAACAAAATTCTGACTCTTCTATTTGATTTAGATAGAAGTTAGGTGTTTATTTGCACTGTATCTTTCTAACATTTGGGAATATATAAGACAAGCTGCACTAAGGCAAAGAATATTTACTAGGATAAAATTATACTCACAGCCAACCAATAACATTTGGAATGCATATTATTGCAAAAAAAAAAAAAAAACAGTCTCTGCCATCATTACAAGGATCTGTCCACTTCAACTGACTCATGGGAAGAGGCAGATTGATATTTCAGGTCGAAATTTAAGATGATGCAAGGGAAAAGGAATGTTATGCTGAAGAAAAGGATTTTTTCCTCCTGTTTCAGAATTGTGCCTAAGACACAGAGTTGAAAGAGAAAAATGAAAGCACTGAAATCTTGACATTCCTGTTTCAAAGAATTTTAAAGGCCTGCCAACATTTAGCATCAACCACTCCCCAAAGGTGGGGATCATCCCCCCAACTATTATGTTTTCTGCCAGCCAGGTCAAAGTAAGAAAAGATCTCTGAGGTCAGAGATGTGGCTCTGATGAAATAAACAGCATATTTTTTATCATAAAAGTGGAATGTAGGTCCCTAATGAAAATGTAGGGAGCTCCTGATAAATTAGCTGATAATGTTTATGCAAGCCTGCAAAAATGAAATATTTTGTTTTGTTTGTTTACCAGGTAGAAAATATGCAAACTTGTCAACTTCTCCCCAGAGTTATCAGAGAAAGGGAAAAACTTGAGTAGAAATGACATAATGGAGGATAATTGGGCAAAAAGCAACAAGGACTTAATTCTCAGTGCCTAGGCCATAAGGAAGATGGAGCTCTAAAAAGCCATGAAGTCCTGGAGAGAAAGTTGCCTGAGGGGTGAATGAGCCTCAGATTTGGCAGGGAAGTAGCAGGGGACACGAGACAGGCACATCAAGGAAATGCAAAGTGAACCAAATGTCAGTTGAGAGACGTGGTAGAATCTGACAAGGTACTAATGAATGAAAAACTATTTCATCAAAAATTTCTATTACAGCGCACTATAGTTAGCAGTAAAGGTGGAGGACTGATTATTAAATTTTTTATGCTTCATCAATAATTCATCTTTGGTGATTCTAACCCACCAGTACCTAACACATGAGACCAATTTTCATCACCTACCTATCTCATTTTATTTTATTTTAATTGATTGATTAATTGGAGACAGGGTATCACTCTGTCATGCAGGCTGGAGTGCAGTGGCATGATCACGGCTCATTGCAACTTCAATCTCCTGGGCTCTGGCAATCCTCCCACCTCAGCCTTCAGCCTTCTGATAAAAGGTTTGTGCCTTCACACCCTGCTAATTTTCATATATATATATATATATATATATATATATATATATATATATATTTGTAAATATGAGGTTTCACTATGTTGCTCAAGCTAATCTTGAACTCCTGGGATCAAGCAGTCCTCCGACCTAGACCTCCCAAAGTGCTGCAATTACAGTCATGAGCCACCACACCAGGCCTGTCTCATTTTAAAGAAAAAGTAAATAACACCAGTTCCATAGAATCCAAGAGTACCAACATTCTAATTTTTTTAGGTTGATTTTTTTATATACCTACTATGTGTGCAGATTACATATATTGTACGTATGTATGCAGACAGCATAACAAGGCAACCAGTTTGCTTAGTATCAATCAGAAATTTGTTTGTTTTTTAAATATGTAACACTGACCATTACCTCATTCTATAAGAAGCATTTATCTATGAAACTATATTCTCTTTCCTTATGCAAGTTCACACTGCTGCCTTAATCTTTCTAGAAAATTTTTCTCTGTAATACAATTAATTTTATTTAAATAATTATTTATTACACTGTAGCTAGGTAGACATGTTGTAAAAACAATATAAAACATAAAGGGCTAATCCAAATACTGAAGTTGGAAGTGGAAACCACAAATCCAAACTTTTTTAACTCTCCATGTATCTGGGTAGACTAAATAGACATGAGACATACATATAATGCTATAACACTAAAAATGCCAGTTTATTCTAAATTACCCCCCACTTCCCATTATGTGAAGTAAAAATACTATTTAATGAAAAAACTCACCATATCTGTATCTGAGACAGGGCCAAAACTGGTCACGTAGATGTTAGTGAAGACTTCAGTAATACTGTCTGATATGAGAAAAGAGATTGAATATAGATATTATATAATAAGAGTCACAGGAGAGAGAAGGGTTTGAGTACATGATATGGTTTGGAAGTGTTGTCATAAATTCAGGAGTACTGGATTTTACTTTCTTGTCAACTTTTGCAACCATAATGACTATAATGCTGGGCTATTTCATAGGTTTTCACCCTCCTTAATGCAAAATGCATGGAAGTATTATGATATTCTTACTTGGAAACCAAACGTGATTAGAGCATCCTCATTTTAAGACTATACTGCTCAAAACGAATACTTTCTTAGGAAATACCTTAAGCAAATTAGCTTACAATAAATGTGTTACCAGTATTAAAAATAAAGTATGGTTGTTGTTTGATATGATCCTAAATTTGATGTCTCAACTAAATATTTTAGATGTTATCTCCTGATGGTAAAGATTCAATTTATAGAATGTAAATCAGTGTATCTTCTCCATACACAAAAAAACAGCTTGGTAATTACAAATAAACACAATTCCAATTAATATAAAAAGCTTTATCATTCAGTGACATAAAAATAAATTTAAATCACTTGAATTAATTACAGTGGATTACTTTCAAACAAGCTTACTTTTAAATGTATATAAGATTGCATGAAATGCTATGACTGAACTAAATTGGATTCTAAAATTATGTCACATAATAACTGTAATACAATTATCTGGAGTGCTCTATTAGCCAGATGATTTACATCCTTTATTTTAAATAAGCCAAATGGTGATGGGGAAGAGGGTCAAAGAAAAGATCTAAACACAAAAATCTTTTCACTAATCTTGTAGTAGAAAGATACACATCATTAATTTTTATCAACATGAGCTAAATGTCTTATCCATTAGCTGTCAGATTTGTAATTCTACACAAACAATAACATGAAATATTTTTCATATTATACTAGACATTAATTAACAACCATTAAAGAGAGTAAACTATGTCCAGGATATTGTTTCCATTAAGGCACAAATAAAAAATAGAAAGGATTTTGATAAAACAGGGTAGATTCTGAATGCTTACTACATACCAGGTACTCTTTAAAGCACGTGAAATATCAGAATCTGCATGTCAAACCTATGATGTACATTCTCTATTATCCCTTTGCATGTGTACAATGTTTCAAACAAAGGTAAGTAAACTTGCCAAGGACCCACAGCTAGTAGAGTAGATAGAGCAAAGGTTTATAATCCAAGCAATCTCGTTTCTGAGTACTCAAGCTAAATCAAGTCATTATACCATAGTCAATGATAAACTTAAAACTAACAGTAGCTTCTTGTTAAACACATTTCTGTTCACCAGAATACTCCATGCCAAAGGCATAGTTACAGTGCTCTGAAGAAACATGTTCACTAAGTTTTGTTGTATATATACTATTTTATCACTAAAACTGTATTTTTGAAATTCTATTATAAAGTCCATTTGAAAAGAAATAAATTTATAAACTTATTTTCAGATGCCACCTACCCCAAAGACCTGCACAGGAGCAACTTTCTGAGTATACAAAGTCCCATAGGACTCTGAGTTGAGAAGATGTCCATGCTTAATTTAATATTCTATTTGTGCTTTCTTTAAAAATCTTAATTATTTTTTAAATAAAGGGCCCTATATTTTCATTTTGGACTAGGCATCACAAATTATGTAGCTGGTCCTGAAACTGAATTATATATACTATTAGAAAGCAATTGCAGAGATGAGGCCCAATGCTTTTTCCCTTTTATCCACACCAAATTAATCACACAATAACATTTAATCAATTAGTAATTGAATAAAACGTTGTTATAGCGGTTGATCTAAAATGTCCAGAGAAGAGAAATTAAATTGTGAAGGCAGATTTTAGCCTAAGAGAAAAAGGTGAAATGATTCTCCTTAGTTTAAGTAGTAAAGTTAGAGTCTAAGAAATGACAAAAATGTGTGAAGGTATTGACGCTACAGATGTGAATAACATTTCCTATATGCCAAATGGCAAGTAAAGGGTAAGGGAGTATCATCAGTGCCTAGTGGCTATAGGGAAGTATCTTAAGAACTGATATAAAAAATAAGATTAGCCTCAAAACTCTAAGTAGTAAGAGAAATGCCTAAGACTCAGAACATAGATATGAAAAGTTATTTTTATAAAAAGAAATGGTTTCATGGATTACCGATATCATAAACATAGCTAAATAATGTATGCATTGGGAAGATTATTACATTATTTAGCTACTTCTTCCTGCTGTGGATGTTAAGAAAAAGGAAAATCAATAAGCCAAACACTGATGAGGAACATCCAATAGTGTCTTGGCCTAGGAAAGGCATCCTTAGTAAAGAATTATTTTGTTTTGTTTTAGGATTTCAATACCGATGATGCAAAAGCTGTAAAGAATCCACATGTGCTAATGAACTATTTTAGTGCAATGAGTATAGATATTTGACACATCCAACACAATCTTCTAGAATTCCATGATCAAAACTCAATCTTTGGTTATAATTTGGCTTTTCCTTAGAGAAGGAAAGGGAAGTAAACAAAGGAAAAGGGAAAAGAAAGAAATGGAGGGGAGGGGTGGCTAGGGAGATTATTTGAATGTAGGCTATTTCCAGTAGAATACAGGATATTCTAATCTTGTGACTCTGATTTGTGAAGGCATTTTATAGTATCTTCTGATTATGTTTGTTTTTCGAACAGGGTGGAGTTGTGCTATTAATGCCTGTTACAATATTCTGATCCACTGAAGAGATGTATGTTACAGAGTAAACAAGTGAATGTATAATCTGTGGCAACTTGAGTCTCTGAATCTTAGGTACCACGATTCACTCTTCAGTCTTGATCATTCTTTCATTTTTGTTGGTTTTTAGATGGAGTTTGACTCTTGCTTCACAGGCTAGAGTGCAGTGCTGCGATCGTGGCTCACTGCAACCTCTGCCTCCAGGGTTCAGGTGATTCTCCTGCCTCAGCCTCCTAGGTAGCTGGAATTACAGGTTCTCGCCACCATGCCCAGCTAGCTTTGGTATTTTTAGTAAAGACAGGGTTTCACCATGTTGGCCAGGCCGTTCTTGAACTTCTGACCTCAGGTGATCCACCCGCGTCAGCCTCACAAAGTGCTGGGATTACAGGCATGAGCTGTAGCGCCTGGCCCTGATCACTCTTAGTTGACAAAACAAGATCTGTCCTGACTCAGAGCCTTCAAAACGGCTATTGTTTCTCATTTTCTCTTTGGTTAATTGTTTCTCTGCACTTAAGTTTCAATCTACATGTTCTCTCTTCAGAGCCGGAGTTCATATCCCCCCTATGCAGTGTAAGTCCTCTTCTCTTATTTTTGCTCTCTGACACTTTTTACGGGACTATTCAACTTTGCCATTATTTTAATGCCTTAATATATTCTCCTTACTTTTTGTTTTGGATTTGGTCTGTCTCCACAACCAGGATGTAAGCTCCACAAAAAACAGGGACTGCACCACTTCTGTTCACTATTATGTCACGAGTGCTTACTACAATATCTATTGCATGTTAGGTGCTGTATGTTTGAACAAACAACTTATTTTTCATTTTAGTAATGTAGAACATCGATCTTTTTCCAAAATATTTCATCAACATTGAAAATGGTCATGCATAGCTATTGCTAGTTATAAGGAAAAGATACCTATCATTTGTGAAGGCAGAGCCCAAACTTTCCATTGACAAATGCAAGTTGAGAGTCTAACAGGCTTCCAGTGAAGTAACAAACTCACTGGAATTCACTGCCCTGATTCACTGCAAACCAAAATTGAAATCTGAACAGTTAAAGAGCTCCTAGCATAAATATCCACCATTAGTTACCTCAAAATAATTGTTTATCAGCTAAATATTTGACATGAGAAATACCTACAGTAATATGAAAAAGTAAGAGGATGTTCTATATAGATTTCTCCAGAGGCAAAACACAAGAAGCTTGATAATAGGTACTTTAGGAGAAATAAGTAATGCATGTGGCATACACAGAAGAATGTATAATCCTTAGGAGAAATCATCAAATTCAGGATGGTGAAAGAGGACAGGGAATAGCCTGCAGAAATGTACTGAAGAATACATAATGTATTCTTAATATTTCCTTCTTTTAAAATTAATCCTAATATTTCCTTCTTTTAAAATTAATCCTAATAAATTTTGACAAAATCTTATGGTATGATTGGGGTGGTCATTGTTAACCTTACTCTTCTGTGTACTTCTCTGAATTTTTAAAATTATTCACAGAAAAAATAAATGGCCCCAAAGGATACCCAAAATGCACATATAAATAATTTTAAGAAGTGTTTAATTAATAAAAAATTACTTTTTGCTGGCAAATGCAGCATAGAATAACAATAAGGATTTCTTTATTAAGAAAGTTCTTTGCAAAACTATGAAAGAAGAAAATTAATGCTCAATTATTATTTATTTGACAAGATTCACTTAAAATAGATGGCTGAGGATAAAATGTGAGTAAATTAAAATGTTTGCCTGTGAAAGATTCAAAACATAATAAGAAAAAGAAATTTTAAAAATGTAATACGAGAAATATCTGCTGTAACCAAGAAGATATCTCAATGCCCAGAGACGCATGTTGGAGAAAGACATGAAGGTTTCACTCTTTTGTGATTTTCAGTGGTCCTGAGCATCCTCTAATCCAACAAAGAGCAGGGCAGATATTCGAGGCAGGGAAACTCCCTTTTGCAGAAGCTAGTTTCCACAAATAGTTAACTTTCACTCATAAACATGGTTGACATGTATGTGCAGAGGGTGGGATCAGGTTGCCAAGAAAAGCAGAAGTTTTATCAAAACAGACCTGACATGCCACAATAATGAGAATATTATCTTCATATACATGGCAGCAGTTGATTCACTGGAGGATATTGACTTGGAGAATTTTGTGTCCAGGGCTATGTTACATTATGGTACATTTATATAGGGGGCAAGTTGAGACAAAGTAGACAGAAGTAGACTGAGGACAGTGTATTCAGTTTGGAAGATGATGCCATTGTTAAGACCA